TGTCAATGTGAAATGTTGAATTGGTTTGCATTATGTGATATTGGTGTAAATGTTACATATGTGATAATTGTGATTGCTTATCTTTGAATCTTGAATCATTGAGAAATGTTGTATATGTAATCATGTGAATTATGTTGAAGTATATTGAATACATGATTATATAAAGTGTGGTGAATTCATTTGATGTATGTTTGTAGTACATTACTTATTATTATATATTTCCATAATGATATGAAGTTTCACCTTTATGTTGGAATGATGTTTTATATGATGTCGCTCAGGTACCGAAGATAGTGGTGCTTCTTGCAAGGAGTAGTTGGAGGAGCTAGTCCTTTATTTATCTGTTTTACTAGGTAGTGAGTCATGCTATGGTCTATGTAACACGGGGAACGTTTGGATTCATGTTGTTTTCATTATATTCATGTTTATTTGGGGAGATGTTGTTATGCTCTCTGGATATTTATGTTGGCTTGAGATGTATGTGATGATGGCCTTTAGTGCTTAATATTTTATGATATGATTGTCAGTATGGGATTTCAATCATTAGTATTATTTTAAAAAATAATTATTCCGCTGCGAGATGCATATATGTTATTGTATAGAGCATGGTTCTAAATGCGTGTTATGATCATGACCAGTGTATGTTGTTGTTTGTCGTGAAGTAAATTGTGACGCTATTTTTGATATGCATGATATTTAATCTGATTATGCTATTTATTTTATGCGAGGTATAAAGGGTGTTACACTAACAATATATGAGGTAACCTAATTGGAGCTGAGATGCATTCCTATGCAGACCTCAATCGAGTAGACTTAATAAGCGACACGTCAACTCAAATTTATTCAAGTTTGGGGTCTAAGAGTAAGACCTCCTCCACTGTCACGTTGTGAAAAGCGTAGACTTTCATCCACATCGGCTCTGTGCTGCTATAAAATGTAGATTTTGTAACAAAATTTCACCTCGGCCAAAATATCCACCATGGTAGAATCTGTTCAATTAGGCACATTCCTTTCATTTTCATTTTAAGCCACTTTTTACCATACTGAAACTTTTAAATCATAGTGAAAAGTGGTGTTAGGTCATGGGTTCGAATCCCAACACAAGCAGATTTTATTATTATTATTTATTTTTAAGTCATTTTTACCACCATTAGAATTCTAATCGTTGTGAAAAGTGGCGTCTGATCATGGGTTCAAATCCCATCACCTATAGTTTTTATTTATTTATTCTTAAGACATTTTCACCATAGTTGGACTTGGAATTCCAACCATGGTGAAAAGTGGAGCCTTCCTATTTTCTATTTTTAAGCTAAATAAATTATATTTACAAGATATTTAATCTTCGTGTTGATTCACTTTTGTCCTAGATGAACTTAGACAAACTTCATCTTCTACCTCCAAACTTCATCCTCCATCTACGACATCTCCAACATGAACGAGGCAAGGAAAACATGGATTTAAGTTAGCAAAATTAGTTGTTATTGTGTCAGGTAAAATGTTTGATGTTGTTGTTTTTGTTGATATTTAATGTTTAACGATTTTATTGATTTTGTTTTTGTTGTTGTTGTTATTGGTTTTTCTTATTGTTATTGAGATTCAATGTTTAACGATTTTATTGATATAGTTTTTGTTGTTGTTGAGATTTGATGTTTAACGATTCTATTGATTTTTTTTTTTGTTATTTAAATTTAATGTTTAACGATTCTATTGGTTTTGTTTTGTTGTTGTTATTGTTGTTCTTGTTCTTGTTCTTGTTCTTGTTCTTGTTAGTGTTCTTGTTCTTGTTCTGATTCTTGTTATTGTTCTTGTTGTCCTTGTTTTTGTTCTTGCTCATGCTCTTGCTCTTGTTGTCATTGTTATTGTTGTTGTTCTTATTGTTGTTGTTTTTATTGTGTTAGAAACATTTAATATTATATATTATGATGGAAGTTTTCAATGTAGTCAACCAAAACAAGTGACAAAAATGAAAATTTAGGCTGGTTGACTTTCACCATAATTGGAAGTTCCAACCATGGTGAAAATGGAATGACTGATATTTCACTCTGATTGAAAGTTCTAACCATGGTGAAAAGTGGGTTGGCTACATTTCACCATGGTTGGAATTTCCAACCTTGGTAAAATGTTGTGTGTTATCCAGTTTTTTTACCATGGACCTTAGTCCGTGGTAGAAAGTAACATACTTACTATCACACCGTTCATTACCATGGACCACCATCTGTGGTAGAATCCTTCTCCCAACAATGGTGATAGATAATTTTTGTACTAATGGTGGTGAGTGAACATCGAACTTCCATATGTATTGACGAAGGTGCAATTTTAATAGTCTATTTGATTGAAACCCCTGAAGTAGAAGCTCCTTAAGTAGACAAAGTATTTGAGGTACTAGCTAGAAAAGAGATAGCTCGAAAATTTTTCTTCATATGTTGCATTGTTTTTCACATTACATTGCATCTACATAACCAACAGAAAGGGCATCATAAAAAAAACTATTCAAAGAAACAGTTGAAAGGAGCAAGATTTTTATGCCACTTGCCAAAGATAACTTTCCTTTCTTAATCATTGCTAGCATCCACCAGCAAGCGAGTTTCAACCGCTTTCTAAATGATGCATCCGAAGGAATATGCCACTGACATAACCAATCTCCTTGAAAACTACATCAGTTACCTCTTCAAGTATACCTCTTAAAGTATACATTTTCCTGGGTTAGGTATTCCTTCTTGTAAATGTAAGATTCACTTCCCGTCAAGAAGTGAATATGGCACCAGAATATGCGGAATAAATTTTTACACACATATGGCGACCCAAGTTATATTCTACATACCTTTGCAAGAGCTTCTTATTTAAAGGGGGTGACCAAGAAGAAGCAATCCTTGAAATTCTTCACACAATCATAATAGGTCTCAAAGAGTTTGGAGAATTTCCTAAAAGAAATCAGACCTAGACCACGTGCATGATTATTTGTGTTGTTTCGAGTCTTGAAAAGATGGAAGAATAGCACCACAGTCAACTTAACCCCCTATATTCACACCAATATTTAAAATCCTTGACAAACTCCCAACTCATGAGATGGAGTTGTGAAGGGGTGAACATTAAGTCATTCATGGTACTGAACTCGAAGTCATTAAATCGAAAACGTAAGCCGATAAGGGAGAATAAGCACTCATGTAAGGGAATAACACATGTGTCTAGTGGAAACACCCTCAATCGATGAAGGCTTCACCTAAGTCATAGCATGCTTTAAGCCAGCCTCGTGAGTGAAATTGCAGATAATCTCCAATGTTTCTTGGTCCACCCAGTCGATCGAAAAATCTCGTTTCACCTTCCAAAGCATAGTTGGCGCAATCTTAAAAAAAAAGATAATATGAATAATGTAGGATAAACAAACACCTTCAGACACAAACACTCCTGCCAAAGGGTGTCAACTCCAAGAGAAAACTCTCGAAAAGAAAAGCAGAGATACCAAAAGCTCGCTACCCATGAAACTCCTAAAAAAGAAGCGGAAGTAAGAAGAAGAAGAAGAAGAAGTTGGCCTTATCTTAAAGAAAAATATATTTTTTTCTTAAGCATGTCAAGTATGAACGAGAAAAGATCATGTGTGATCTTAACCAAAAAACTTGAACAAAAAAAATCGCAAGAAATAATGATGATAGAAGGCATAAATAAGTTCTATTAATAATCACAAATGTATACAAGGGTAAAATGTTACTTCAAAAACCTATATATGAGCCTCATCCATTAAGGATCGTATGATCCACTACACAATATCAACAAATGAGACTGCCTCAAAGACTATTCTAAATACTCAAGTACTCTAAAAGAAGATGAAATATCATTACCAACTAGTGTTGGATTGGGATACAAGTCTATTATTCCTAGTGAAATGTTTCTCATCACAAGACATTTAATGCACATGTTCACAATGATAGTAATGTCCCATCAAAGTGTTTCACCTCATCTAACCAAGATGTCGGGCTAGAGCATCTATGGAAAACCCTCATCATGTAAAGCAAAGATGAGGGTTGTGGGCCAACTATTATAGGTCGCCACAAGGCCCAAAGATGAAAGGCATAATGATAAAGCAATGGTAGAAAGAGCGAAGAACATGTAGACCTCTATTCTTCCTTAAGTAGGTAACTCCGCCTTCTAGTGGGTTTCTAACCATCCTCATCACATAGACGGTCGATCGCGAAACACGTCTCATTATACGCTTTCTATTTTAAACTATCCCCACATTTAAAAGGAAATGTGCACCATTTTTCCGGTATTCAAGTCCATTCTTACTCTCACACTATTTTTCATTCTCTTACTGACTTAAGCGTTAGAGTGTTAATCTTGCACTCAACCCCCTTTTCATCGCACCATAAACTTATATCTATCATAACAAATATTGCTTCATCATTCACCGAACAACTTAGATTCTACCACAGCAGACCCTCTTGTACAGTTGAGATATATTGTATATTGTCTGATTACGATGAAAATGAGAGATTTTCTCTTGTACTAAGAGAATTTGTAATCCTACTTTTTTATTTTATTTTTTATATACATAGATATTTTACTATACTATGTTTCGTGGTTTTTCTTTCCATTTCCATTAAAAAAGTTATGTGTAAATCTTCTACTCGATTGTCTTTATTTTGGCTCCCGATTTTAAGGTCACATAAAAGAGAAATTATGCAAACATTTCTCAACGTATTTACATATATCTTTATAAAGATATAATACTATTTGAGTTTTGTTTATTGTTTACTTTATTGTAAGTAGTATAGTTCTGTTTTGATATTCGATCACAAAATAAAATTAATTTTCTTTATTTTAATAGATAAATAATCTACAAATTAATAATTATTTCAAACTCTATTATATCATGACAAATACAATTAATACACCTAAAATATTTTAAGTTCAACAAACAAATAAACATTGTTTAAAAAAATATCAATTTTTTTTAACAGAAATAATCTCATGCACGACAGGAGTGGAGTGTATATACACACTAGTTAGGAAACATAGTACATTGGATTTGGGAGTTTGAATGCCCTTATAGGACTTGGAATCCCCTCAATGCTATTGTATTGGTCCCCAAGAATGCCCCAAATGTGATAACCATCATTCTTAATAACCCATATTGATTGTTCTTGTAGTAAGGAAGAGTTGAAAGAAGAGTTTCATCAATGTCAAAAATCCAAGCATCTCTTCCATCATACTTCAAATTACAACTTGTGCTAACATGAACCAAACACTCTTGAGTTGCTCTTTCTGAATCAACTTTATATTGTGTAGACTTCATATATTTTCCAATATATTCAATGCATTCTCCAGGCACAACTTCAAAATCACTAATGTTGTGCAATTCAACATTCATTCTCCAACTTTCACAATAATTCTTTAAGCTTATTTCCAACCCATTACGTGATAGCTTTAATATGTTCCAATCTGCAATTACTATTGGAATCAAAAGACATATGAAAACCAAACACCATCCAATTGATTTTCTCATGGTTTTTTTTTCTTTGATGAAATGAAATGCAAGCAAACATAGGTAGTTGTATGTTTATTATAGGAAATAATGGAACCAACTACTTCATTTTATGTATTTAATTAATAATAAATGTCACATGGATCTTATATATAGATACAAACATTCATATGCACCACACTCACATGTTTCATAGTTGGCAAAATACTTGAAATTGAAACCATTGAGAAATGTAATTATGAGGAGAAACGTGCCTACATGATTTCACATTTGACAAATGGGATTATCGCTTGAATACTTGTAGGCACTCTAGGTTATTGCACAATCCACTTGAGTTATTATTTTAAGAGATAATTTTTCTACCAATCATAAAAAGTTAAGTAATACTATATCCTTAACTAATCACATAATATCATTTAATTTTAATATATTTATTTATTAAATAATACCATTATTTATTTATTGGTTTCAAAATATTTTATATTAAAGATAATTTTACTCAATTTTTAAATTGAATAGATAAAAATTCATCTATAATCTATTTTAATGGATTATAGTTTTTTATATAAAATACTTTTTCCATAATAAATTATAAACAAATTTTATTTTTAGATTTATTGAATAATTATTATATCTGATTTATATATAAATAAGATATATTAATTATTCAAATAAATTTATAAAGTACAATTTATTTATAATATATTCGGAGTATAACACTCGTATTTCTTGAGGTATACTTAAACATTATATATTACTATATTAAGATTTCCAATAAACACCCAACATTTTTATTTGTTAGAGAAATTAAGCCACCTTGTCCAGCCAGTTATGTCCAATCAGCTATGTTTGAATGACACATCACGTAACTTATCACAAAATAAAGCCATGTCATTTAATGTAAGTTTGGTGGGAAAAAATTATATTCAAGAAAAAAATATGTATAATTGAATAAGTCTGGTGAAAAGGAGATAAAAATGTCTATAAAAAATATAAAAAATATAAGAAATATATGTAAAATTGAATTAAAAAACTATTTTGAATGAAGGATTTAACATATTAAAAACTTCTCGCTAAAAATCTTACAACAATATTAATTTGTTGAAAAGAATATTATGTAGAATAAAGAACAATAACAACAAAAATACACGACTTTAACAACAAAATAATTTGTTAAACATTATGGATTGGCATGTGAGACCATGCCACGTAGAGTAGGTTCAACTCGGCTCAAGAGGTTTGATATGTTCACTCCAGCTTAGACATTCGTTCTATTTCGAACTCGCAGTTTGATGAGATACGCCAAAATTCGTCCTAAAATAAAGCTCCCTTTAGCTTATCTCTATAGCATATCACGTGCTCGACACAGAGAATGACGTAAGCTGCGCGTGCTTAACTCCATGTTCATGTACGAACAAATGACGTAAGTTGCGCGTGCTTAACTCCATGTTCCTGTACGAACAAATGATGTAAGCTATGCGTGCTTAACTCCATGCTTCTGTACGGACAACTTGTATGGAATTTACAAGTAAAAACCTAATAGGCCTAGAGAATAACTAGAGGAGCCCATTAGGTCAAAGCAAAAAGGACTATAAAAGACAAGACTTAGGAGGACAAGAGAGGGGAGGAACAATGTATTCTTGAGATCATTAGCAATTTTCATAGTGAACGTTTTGTATTTTGTGTTTACATCCGTGAACATTGGCGTCCACCATGGGGCTACGGTAAAACTTTTCAACGACCTAGCTCCATTGTTTACTAACTTACCACCATGACACCACCACGCAGGCGATCCCATACTTCTTTTGGTTTTGTTCTTAACAATGATTCCAACTCACAACTTTCTCATCTTATGGAGGTTGTACGTGAGCTTCAAGAGAGAAATATGGAAAAATAACTTCAGAACGAGGAGCGACAACGCCAGCAACTTGAAGCTCAAGTTTGGGAGGCCGAGCTTAAGGATCAACTGATGCCCATAGAAAGAGATTTGAGACATCAGGTCGATCTCTTGTGCAACAATGTCACCATACCCGAAAAAACTAGGTTGATGCCTAGGGTTTTCCAACCATTTTCGGAGGAAATCCAAGGAGTAGTTATCCCTCGTCCCTTTTGGAAACCTACCATTGACGCTTATGACAAAACAACCAACCCTCAAAGTCATGTTCCAATGTTCCAGACACTGATGTTTATAAGTGGAGTTGATGGCGCGTTGAGGTGCAAAATTTTCGCAGGGACCTTAAAAGATGTAGCTCATTGTAAGAACAAGATTAGTTCTTACCTATATCAGAGTTTTGATGATAACAATAAATTATATTTAAGATAATTTATACTCTGATGAATGTGTTTGAATGTTTCAGATAATGTTCTGACAGAAACATTCTGAAGTGCTAAGCAAAAAATTATGAAGAAGTTCTTTGATGAAAGAACCTTTTTTTCAAAGCGCATCTGCTGACTCTGGTAAGACACTTTATTTTTTAAATATATATTCTAACATTTAGCAGGTTCCCTGCTCAGAAGTTTACTTGAAAGCAAGCGCTGATCAAGTTCTTAGCAAGCAAAGCACTGCCTAGAAGATGAGTGAAGCATGTTCTGATTTAAAGACATTGGAGCAAATTCTGAAAGAACGTTAAAACCAACTTGTCTTGTCAAAGCGTAGGAAACATGTTCTTACATTCTGTTGTTTGCTCATTAATGCAAAGACGGCTGAAAGCACTCAAGTGTCTACACTAGTTTCTTGGAAAATGGAATATTGCAAGGAAACACGCAAGCATTTAATGCTCTCCAACTTTTCTGAAGGCAGCAACGGTCTTATTGTTCCAACTATAAATAGAAGGACATTTATTGCAAGACAACAACGAAGTTAACCAATCAATTTTCGAAATAGAAGCAAGAAACTACGTGAAAGATTCTAAGCTCACAAACTCTTTGTTCATACAATTTGTGCAATTTATTCTAAGTGAAAAATCACAGTTGTGATATAGCTTGATTAGAAGCAAATTTTATTTCACTATCTGTAAAGGTTAAACTCTTGTAATTGTTCCTTGAGAGACCAAGTTTGGTCATATTTCTCAAGCAGACTAGGATTAGTCTTAAGTCTTAGTGGTGTTAGTCACTTGTAAGATTACTTGTGCATTGTGAGTCAAAACAGTTGTTGTGTGTTTGTAATCAGTTGATTATAGTGGATTAAGTCCTTGTTGAGAAAGGCGAAATCACCTTGGCGGGTGGACTGGAGTAGTTTGTGTTTAAACGAACCAGGATAAAAATAACCTTGTCCTTCCATTCTTGTTGAGCTTTGTATTGAAAAGGAAAAGAGTCACTTATTCAACCCCCCTTCTGACTTCCCAAGTTCCCAATTTCTGACTTCTCAAGTTCTTAAGCAAAGCAGCAAGTAGATTCCTTATGTTCTGAAGCGTTACTTTTCCATCAATGCAGTATCAATTACAACGGCTACAAACAGAAAAAGATCTTCATATTATGGAAAGTGCATTAACTTCCAATTATCATGTTTCCATTTGGACAGATTGTGTGCCTATTTAAACAAGCACCAAGGCTAAATCGTTCACGATTTACACAAATGTTTTCATACAATCTCTCAACGCTGCAAATCATATTCATACTATTCTCTAAAATTGTGTAATACATCACAAGTTTGTGATACAGTTTTTGTAACGAAAAACATCTAGTACATAGTTAATTCTTATTTTTGTTAGTGAATTTCCTTAAGATAAACCAGGTTGTGGTTGTACTCAAGAAGACTTTGGCAGTTGTCAAAGTAGAATTGTAATCAGTTTGATTAGTGAATTAAGACCTCGTTGGAGAGAGGTGAAATCACCTTGGCGGGTGGACTGGAGTAGTTTGAGATCAAGCGAACCAGGATAAAAATCATTGTGTCATTTGCATTTGATTTTAAAGTTTCAATTTAACCCCCCTTCTTGTGTTTTTCACTTCTTCAATTAATAAATCATTGGACGTTTTTCATTCAAATTTTACGCTCTCTGTCTTTTCTTTTTACTTTATTTTGTCAAAATAGCTATGTGCTCTTACACACACCCACATATCAAATTGCAGATCCACATCCACCCTAGATCCCATTGATAACAATTTTGTTATTTCCAGTTATGACTTTGAAAATCCGATCTACCAAGCCAAGGACGAAGGCGAGGAAGATTATGAAGTACCGGGAGAACTTGCTAGACTATTACAGCAAGAGGAAAGAACAATACAACCTCATGAAGAGCCGATCGAGGTGGTAAACTTGGGTACTGAGGAGAATAAAAAGGAAGCCAAGATATGTGCCAACTTGGATAATGGTGTCAAAGAACGGTTAATCTAGATGTTACGTGACTACATTGAGATCTTTTCTTGGTCATACAAAGACATGTTGGGGCTTGATACTGATATTATAGTTCAACACCTGCCAACAAAAGAAGGCTGCCCTCCAGTGAAGAAAAGGTTCGTCGTATGCGACCTGAAATGTCAAAAAAGATCAAGGCTAAAATCATGAAACAATTGAATGTCAGATTCTTAGCTGTTACTTCTTATCTACAATGGGTTGCGAACGTGGTACTAGTGCCTAAGAAGGACGGTAAAGTGCATATGTGTGTGGATTACAAATATTTGAATAGGGAGAGCCCCAAAGATAACTTTCTGTTTCTTCATATTGACGTTCTAGTTGATAACACCGTATAACATAAGATATTCTCCTTCATGGACGGTTTCTCCGGTTATAATCAGATCAAAATGGCGCCTGAAGACATGGAGAAAACCACTTTCGTCACACAGTGGGGCACTTTATGCTACAAAGTTATTCCTTTTGGGTTGAAGAACACCGAGGCAACCTATTAGCATGCTATGGTAGCTTTGTTCCATGATATGATCCATCATGAGGTAGAGGTTTACATTGATGACATGATAGCCATGTCTCATACTGAAGAAGAGCACCTTAATCACTTGCAAAAAAATGTTTGAAAGACTGAAGAAGTACAAGTTAAGACTGAACCCGAACAAATGCACCTTTGGAG